AAAAAAAAAAAAAAAATCAGATTTATAAAACCGTGCATACGCACGTTTCTGCACATCTTTCCTTTTTAGATCACAGCTTCACCTCAGAGTTTGCGCTCAAGGTCCCGCCTCAGGTTCTACCCTCTACACGCCCACACTCAACCATAAACAGTCAATGTAAAGTACCTCATGAATGAGCAGATGACTGATTTAAATACACCTTAACAATGCCAAAACAAGTGATTGATTCAGACACACTCCGTCGTGTGTCTGGAGGATGACAGGTAGAGGTGCTGACAGCTGCTCAGGTGAACAGAATGACTGTGATTGACGGATTTTCCCTCATTTTGCAGATTTACAGATGTTTAATCTAATGATTTTTATCAAAAACTCAGCTTCAAATTATTTTCTATTTTTATTTATTTTTATTTTTTCTATTAATTTTTTTTTTTTATTTTTTCTATTAAAATAAGTCAGGTAAAATTAGAAATAAGTTCACCACTCTTCTCCCTGTTCTGCCTGCTCTGTTATCGAAGGCAGTCTGTGGGGTCCCAACACATCACAGGAAGCTGTGGCATCAGTTAACTTAAAGAAATTAATCAGTTATGGATGAAGAAATCCATTCATTAAAGAACAAAAACACCTTCACTCTCACCACGTTACCACAGGGCAGAACAGTGGATGAGTTTGTTTTCTAAAGAAAGATACTGAAGAAAACAAGACACTGATGAGGTTTGAGTAGTTTTTTTGAGGATTTGTAATTTTTTTTAAATAGCTACTTTTGCTTTTATTTCGTTAAAATTTAAAGCTAAAAGTTATACTTTTACTTCTTTACTTTTAAAATGTAACACCTAGTTACTCGTTACAAAATTAAATATGTTTGAACTTATGAAAGATGTTTCTGCTCTACAAAATGAAGTGTTGAATTTACTCAAGTCATGTCAGATGGCTCTACTGAGCCTAGTTGAGTAAATTAAGCAAAGAATATACATACCGTATATACTGGCTTAGTGGAACCAGTTTGGTTCAGTAAATTTAACAGTTTATTTCTTACAGAGTGTGTAAAAGTACTTRAACTTTTACTTCGCTAATTTTTGTGAACAGTTTTATGACCTTTACTTGAGTAGTTTTCTCATCAGTGAAATTTATTTTTACAAAAGTCATTTTCTGTTCATGCAATTTTACTTTTACTTGGTTATTTTTTCAAGTATTTTATAGACCTCTGATTATTTCAGCAACCTGAGTACAAGCGGGTGTTTTGAGTTGTTTTGGTTAGAGGTGCAGTAACTAGGTCTGTCCACTGTGGGGCACTAGTCTACTGTTCATGGGCAGGTGAGCAGGTCCTTGGACCAGATGTCCTGCTCTAATCCATCATCAATCCTCATGCACTATGTCTACCATTTAAGGACGGCAAACTCTTCCTCCTTCACTCTTCATCACTTATGTCTGAGTTGTGGCGGCTGAGCAGTAAGAGAAATGTTTCACAGCAGGAGTTTTATTTTGAAGGATCCGGACTGAGGAAATAACCACACTAACAATAATAACATACAAGCAGTTTATTATTTCTTTACAAAAACCTCTGAAAACAGAGAGAAATGTACACCTTTAAATTACACCGGCTCTTATAAAGAAAATAAAGTCTTTCTGTATTTACATCAGTAAGTTCAGGTAAAGAGAGCAGATCAGGGTCAGGGCATCTGTAGGTGGACTGACCTCAGGCTTTACTGGATGTGCAGCTTCTCTCAACAAAAACTGACTTGATTGCTCTGAGTTTATGAGAAACTGAAGAAAACAAAACTTTCTTAATGTTTTCTTTAGTAAAACCAGAAACAAACTTCAGGTATAAAAGTGTCAGCTGAGCTTTATTCTGTAACGTCCTGATGCATCTCAGTAATCCAGGTAAAAAATCAAAGAAAAAATTGTGTAGGTCTTCTGGACAGGTTCTTCTTTAATGAAACGTTTTGTCTCGTCTCCAAGAGACTTCTTCAGTCTGAGAGTTTCAAGCAAAATTCAGGCTTTTAAGCCCAGCCTCCGTGTGACTGATACATCACATGGGTATCGTTGACACCTAATTAACACTTATTGTTAACAGGGGGTGGAGTGATACTGGCAATGGCCGCGCTGTAGGAGGGGGACAGCTGAAAACGGAGGCCTCCACCTCTGTTTAATGATGGACGGTCTTTCTTCACAAAAATGGCTTCGTTTACTCCTCTCTCAAACCAACGTTTCTCTCTATCAAGAATGAGAACATCCTCATCTCTGAAAGAGTGACKGCTGGCCTGTAAATGAGTGAAAACTGCAGAGTTCTGACCATTCGACGTAGCTGGTCTGTGTTGAGACATTCTTTTGAAAAGTGGCTGCTTTGTTTCCCCGATGTATAACTGGTCGCAGTCCTCTGTTAAGTGCCAGGAGGACTGCGACCAGTTATACATCGGGGAAACAAAGCAGCTACTGTTCAAAAGAATGTCCCAACACAGACGAGCTACGTCGAATGGTCAGAACTCTGCAGTTTTCACCCATTTACAGGCCAGCGGTCACTCTTTCAGAGATGAGGATGTTCTCAT